TCTTTTTCTCTCTCACACACACACACACAACAATTTCACACACACACACATGCACACGCACAAAAACAAACATAAAATCTCTCTCACACACACACACACACTCACACACACACACACACACACACACACACGCACACTTTCTCTCTCATGCACGCACACACACACTCACAATCACACACACACAGACACACAAACATGCAATCTCTCTCTCAAACACAGACACATATTCACATAAACGCACGCACACGCACACACAAACATACACACACTCCAACACACTTTTTCACACACACACACACACACTCTCTCTCTCTCTTTTTCTCACACACTCACACAAACACTTTCCCAAATACAGACACACACACACACTTTCTCTCTCTCTCACACACACACACACACACACACACACACACTCTCTCTCTCTCTCTCTCTCTCTCTCTCACACACACACACACACACACACACACACACAGACTGTCACACATACACACACTAACACACTTTCACACACACACTCTTTCCCACACACATACACACTCTCCCTCTCCTTCTCTCACGCACACTCAAACACAAACACATTCACACACTCACTCACACACACACAAACCTACGTCATCTTCACGAGGACATTGGCAGGACACTAATCTGCTGCCTCATCAATTTCAGCTTGTCCAGAGAGACACAGTAATATCGCACACACACACACACACAAACACACAAACACACACACATCTTCTGTCCTCCACCTGAGGATACAAAATCTCCCCTCGGATTATAGGCCAAAACCGCAAAGATGCAATTTTCAAAGCGACCAATCAGAGCCCTCCGCTGCCTCCACCGGAGTTTCTTGCACGGTAACAGAGCTGACAAGTGATTGGCCGAGCACGGAGGCTGAAGCCAAGCCAACTCTAATCTACAGTTACAAACACGACGACACGCACAAATATGACAGACACTAGCAAGTCAGCACTGCGGTAGGTAGTACATTAGCTGATGCTGTAGCTGCGGTCTCATCCGCCACTGAAAACAAACACACAGGCAGAAAGACAAACACATACAGTAGGCTACAAACTACAATATTTATAAGTATATTACAGTTTTTCTAAGTGGCTTTGGTGCATTTCTCACAGCACTATTTACATTTGCACAACAGTTCATGCATTTCTCAAAACAATTAGTACAAGCTGCAAAACCAACCTGACAACCTGTAAAAGCGCGTCACATGCTCAAAATGGAGAGCTCTTTCCTCAAAAGCAAGTCTTGACGTCAATGAAAGTGTCAGAGTCATTGAGATGAAAAGTACAGACACCATTGTTTATGAACAGGATAGTCAAATGGCTTTGTCATGTTTTCATAATGAGTTTACTCTGTACAGTTTTTTCAATGCAAAAAACTACAGTAAAGTGAGACATCACTGCATTTAGTGAGGTATGAGTACAAGACACTGAATATGTATGTTTTACATTTTACAGGTTTTCTCAGGCCCCATTTACACTAATGCTGTTTAGTTTTAAAGAGCCCATATTATGGGTTTTTGAAAATTCCCCTCCATGTAGTGTGTAACACAGCTCTAAGTGAAGTGAAGTATCCAGCTAAGGCTTAAATCTGTTAGTGTACAGTGTTTAAAACTGTTGATTCATCTATAAAAGAGTCGACTCATAGTGCTTCAAACGAGTCGCCTTGATACCGAGTCATTAGGTGTTTCGCCATGACGTACGAACGAAACCAAGTTATTCACGTGCACGTGCAAACCAGGGAGATTTAAAACCTGAGGCCCCGCCCTCTGACACAGAAACCCAGACACACACACACACCCACAAACACACGCACACACAAACATGCCGGTCGATTGAAGTCACACTGCAGATGGATATTATCGAGTCTCTACCCAAAGATGAAACCTCAGCATTATAGCCAAGCAGTAGGAAACTTCTGGAAACTACATGCTACAAAGAATACTTCATCTGCGTTTGTTAAAGGAAGGATCACTAAAGAGTAACTTACTGATGGATGTCAGGATGGGTTTCTTCCTTCATTTCTCAAGTGTAAGTACGTGCGATTAAAGTTGCCTCGTTTACTCTAGCTTGCAAATGTATTTAGTTGTGATTTGTCACTTGTAACCGCGTGTACTGTATGAAGTTAACTCGCTTTATTCTCTTATCGCGTGCAAAGTCACGTTAAAAACGTGACGCATGCTGCTTTGTTTACGGAGCTCCGTGGAGGAGAGTAGTGTGTGTGTGTGCATGTGTGTGCATGTGCGTGCGCTGTCGTCTGGAGGTGTGTGTGTGCGTTTGTGTGTGTGCACGCGCGTTGTCGTCCGGAGCAGGGTTAAGTGTGTGTGTGTGTGTGTGTGTTTGTGTGTGTGTGTGTGTGTGTGTGTGTGTGTGTGTGTGTGTGTGTGTGTGTGTGTGTGTGTGTGTGTGTGTGTGTGTGTGTGTGTGTGTGTGTGTGTTAGGACGAGGGCAATATGTGTTTGTGTGTGTGTCTGTGAAAAGTGCAGAGTGAGAAGCTAGAAGATCTCCTCAACTGTTTTCAGAGTTTTTGCTCAAGTCGTCTGTATTTTCAAGTCTATTGTCTGTATTTACATTGACCCACTGCCAGTCCACGCCTACACTATCGAGCGTGTATGAACTGTGATTACTTTTATATTGCTGATTAGCTCTTGGGCATTTCACACTCTGACTGAAGGCAGTCGACCAATCGCAACAGACTGTCATCGGTCCAATCAGCGCAGATTAGCTTCGCGCTAAGGACGGGTTTGGGAACAAATAAATCACTGGACGATTCATACGGGAGTCGCTGGGATAAGTAGATAAAAATAAATGCAGATTATAAGACCATGAAAGTGTTTTTTGACCTTGCATGCATATTATGCCGAGTTCAGACTGCATGATTTTCCAACTAGTCGTGTCACAGATGTTGTCACACTGCATGACTATCTGGGCTAGCGTTTCGTCGCTGCTTTGTTTACACTGCAAGATGGATCGGCGACAGGGACTTTCACATTGCATGACTTTACTATAGGGAGAATCGCCGACAACTTCGTCAAAACTACGTCTCACAGTCAAAAACACGTAGTATAGCCTATCTTTTGTTATCAACTACATAACAAGAAAGAAGCCTTTAATGGGGTAGAACATGTACATGTTTGCTCACCTGGGGAAAGGGAATTAGCCATTTCTCCTCAACGTTGATAATAAACTCATTTCTTTCTGTATGAAACGTCAAACAGACACGGTTGCTCCTGAGTCCTGTCATACCTCCACTAGTTTTCCCTCCATTTCGTGGGTCCAAATAAACCGAAAATGAGCGCTTTTAACTTCTCCCCCAGCCTCCTGCTGGCCTGCAGCAGGTATACACACACGCACACACAAGTGAAAGCTGCTCTCTCATTGGCTGTAGGCGATCGCTGATGTTATTTTCAGTCAAAACTCAATTCACACGGCATGATTTGCATCGCCGACAGCTCCAGATATTTAGCACGCCAAATATCTCAGAGGCATCGGCGACTCATCGGCGATTCTTTCAGATCGCGTCTTTGATTGTTCATACTGTGTGATTGTCACTCACGTGCACGAGCAGCGATTTGCCTGTGATTTCAGGCATTTGTCGGCGATTTCTCAAAACCTGTCGGCGAGCCAAAATCGGGGCTAAAATCACGCAGTCTGAACTAGGCATTAGACTGTTGTTGGAGACCCTTACAACCAAGATATGACTCTATTTCATGTATAATATGGGCTCTTTAAAACGGGGTTTTAGATCAAAAAACCATTCGCATCCACACTCGCGTTTCTGAACATATCTCTGTCCACACTACGTCACCAAAAACGTATATCACGTGACCATTCGGGCACTCTGGGCATGCGCATTCTAGTATAAACAGAAAGCACGTGTCTCGCTCTGCATTTGGTTA